GTGTTTGTGTAAGAGTCTCCCAGGTGGTGCTGGTTTTGAAGGCATTAAGGTCATGGAAAGAAGCTGATGCTTACTTGGCACAGTGAGAGGCCATTGGTGAATGTGTAGTCTCCGTTGACGTTGAAGCCCTGGGATTGAATGGGTCATGGAGAGAAGTTAAGGCTTTGGTACACCATGTGGTGGGGTCAGTCCTGAAGAGAACCTATGAGAGGTATTGGTGAAGGTGCAGCCAGGTTGCAGATACCTCCAGCATTTTAGAGAAGCCAGTACCGTGGATCAGCCGACCATCAGGGACAACAGTGGGTATGAGATGGAGCCTGCCTGAGGCTAGGAGACAAGCCCTTTGGAGCCCGAAGACCATGATTCTCGGAAGTCTGACCTGAACTTTATTTACACTAGTGGACTTTGGTTTGCTTTGGCCTGGTTGTCACTGCTGATTTTTTCCTCTTGGAGTAAGAAAGTATGTAACTTATTTTCTATTTTGCAGGAGTCTACAGTTAAGAAATTTAAAAGAGATTTTGGAGTTTCAGAGAGATTTTGGATATTTTAGAGAGACTATGAACATTTTAGAGACTTTGGATTTTTTAAATTTTAAATGTGTAGGCACCAAACTCTAGTGCACTCAATTTTATAAAAATTATACCACTAGGTTTAAATATACAGATTAACATCAATCCCATAGTAGTAGTTTTACTATTCCACTATCTCTAATATCATCTAATATCTCTAATACCATCTGAATAAAAAATAAACATGAGAGTTAATTGTTATCACACATCAAATATACTTAACAGATATCTACAAAATATTCCACCAAAACTCCAAAGAATACACATTCTACTCAAGAAAGAAATTTGTAGTTCTAAGTGCCTACATTTAAAAAAAATTAGAAATAGCATAAATAAATGGCTTAATATGACAACTAAAAATTTTGAAAAAAAAAACCAAGAACAAACCATAACTAAACCTAGTTGATGGCAAGAAATAATAATGAGAACAGAAATTAATAAATTAGAAACAAAGAAAAAAGCAAAGAGTCAGTGATTCTGAATTTGACCTTTTGAGAAGATAAAAATCAACAGACCCTTGGCTCAACTAACCAAAATAACAGAGTATCCAAGTAACATAATCTGAAATGAACAGGGAAACATTACATCAGACACCAAAACTTCAGAATTTTGTAATGTAATACTATAAAAATCTCTAGTCCATTAAAGTTGGAAAACTCGAAGAAGTGAATGAATTTCTAGACGCAGCCAAACTACCAAAATTAAACCAAGAATTAGTCAACAACCTGAGCAAATGAGGAGATTGAAATTGTAATTAAAAAGTCTATCAGAGAAAAAAATAAAGTTCAGGACCAGATGAATTCCCAGCAGAATTCTACCAGACATTCAGAGAAGGTTTGCAGTCAGTGTTCTGAAACTATTAAAAAAAGACAGAAACAGAAAGAGCATTCCCCAAACTCCTTCTCTAAAGCCATTTAAAAGTGAGAGACGGAGACAGAGAGACAGACCAACCACCTGACCTTGAGACAGGCCCCAGAGGTAGAGACTTGGACGTGGGTAGTTGGTTAATCATTCCTGAACATGTTGGTGAGACGTTTTGAGAAAGTCAGAATCAGTGGTGAGAATACGGCAGCTCTGCTTTCACCTGTGAAAGGAGAATTTAATTTTTCTTCTGAAATTGAGCATGCCGTTTGCTGACTTAGACTTCTGAACTGCAGATTCTCTGCCCTTCAAGTTCTGGGATTGGCTCTAGTGTTCCAACACGGGAGACCTCTGACAGGCAATCCTTATGCAAGAGCTTCCCTGCTGCCAAAGCTCAACTGCCTCCTTTACCCAATCCTGCTGGTTTCTTATCACACCTTCCTCTCATGCTGTTACAACAATTCTGGGCCACAAACTTTGACTTAGCAAATGCTTCCCAAAAACTAGATCTGAGGAGGTGGCTCAGGAGATGGCTCAATCAGTAAAGTACCTGTTGCGTAACCACAACTGCCTGAGTTTGGACCCAGAACTAACAGACAAGCTGGGTGTGATGGTGCACACCTGTAGCCAGTGCTTGCGAGGGGCTGCAAAGATGGGTGGGTACTAGGGGCTCACTGGTCAGGGACCACCTTGAACAAGGATTGCCTATCAGAGGTGTCTCATGTTAGATTGAAGTGCTTGGACCTTTAAACCTTCAAAAATTTGGGCTGTCCTGGTAAATGCGTGGCCTGTGGTAGTGCAGTCCCTGAAAGACATACTGATGTGCACTGCCATAGCTGGCAGCAAGTCCTTCCTTGAACAGGGAATTTAGTTAGCATATCTTCCTGTGTTTCTTAAGAATGAGAAAATACTTCCTAGGTGTTGTCCACCAGACTTGTCTCATATCTTAGCATTAGATTACACGCTACAACAAAGATTACTAATTACCTTTTATAGCCATTGTCAGCTTTTCTGGGAAAGAGAATCCTGGGTTTGGGGGCATCTGTTAGCATAATGGCTAAATTTTTCTGCCCTCCTGTACATGTAGATAGGTGTTTGTCACTTGTGGCTAATGGTTATATATAGAATTTTCATGTTGGACTTAGGACAGGGTGTGCCCTTTGTTTTCTTTTCCTCTTTGTGCTGGGTAGAGTGGGTCTGTTTAATTCCAAGTTTTTAGGTAGAAGCCAAGTGTTGGGGTTGACAGAAGAAGGTTACAGAACATTCAAGTCACTGATAATTATGAGATTGCTTACGTGTTTCGGGGTGCGCAGTTTTGGATTTCATGTTTTAGCTCAGCCAATACTTTTTAGGTATTTTTTCTTTTGTGCTAAGTGTATTAAAATTTAACCTTAAATGAGTATGTATTTCTGGTTATTGGCAAGGAGCCAAGTGGTGATGGCGCACACCTTTGATCCCAGCATTTGGTAAGCCTAGACAAGTGGATCTCTTGAGTTCGAGGCCAGACTGGTCTACAGAGAAAGTTCCAGGACAGCCAGGGTTGCACAGAGAAACCTTATCTCAAAAAACAAACAACAGCAAGAACAACAAAATTTACTGGCAAGGAATACAAGGGAATCGGTTGTTTAGACTAACATTTTTGGGGTGTAGTAAGTGTTGACAGAGTACATAGCTATCTGCATCATGCAAGTGCAATAGAAGAGAAAGGAAGGAACACTGAGGGAATTGGGAGATTGGTTTTATCATGGTCTATACATAAGATCCTAACTAGTGGGCTGAGAATGTGTGGGTGTTGATTAGAAGTGATGGTTCAGTAGCTTGGTAGTCTCTGTGGGAGGAAGACTCACTGAACTAGCCTATGGGATATAAGAGACAGTGTTCAGGGGAGGAAGCTTAGAATTTAAATCTTGTTGGCAGTACTGTTAATAGTAATAGTAGGGTCAGAAGAATGGGTGGTTAAAATGGGGCAAAGGAAAAGATGGTAAGGGTAAGAAATGGAGAGGCTATTAGGCAGGGTGACACTGACCTTTAAGCTCAGCAATAGGGAGGTAGGAGCCAGAGTTCAAGGCCACTCTCTGTCACTTAGCAAATTTGAGGCCAGCCTGGACTACACAATGCCTTTCCTCAAAAACAAATTCCCCCAAAGGAGAGAAGCTGGGTTTAGGATAAATCCGTCAGAAGTTAATGTAAATAAACATTTACATTACATGTGGATGGTCTGTTAATATCCTCAGTGTCTGAGGAAGGGTAGCTGCAATGTCAGCAGCTTACTTCCACAGTAAGGGGCACATCAAATGAAAGACACATTTTAAAGAGCCCGACAGCTGGTGCAAGAGGAGGAGAAAATGATCTTGGATGGAAATGAGGAAACATGGCATATTTATTGCATACTATTGTTTATATAGCTAAAGATACTTGACACATAACAGAGAAAAGCAAACTCAGAATATATATTTTATAGAAAATAGACACATGAAAAGGTATTTGTTCTATAAAAGAGCGGTTAACCTTAACCTGGGAAAGAAGCTATCAAATTGGGCTTTGGTTAATGGATATAGTAGAATTTAATTTTATTTTGTTTTCTGTATATGGATGTTCTGCTTGCATGTATATGTTTGCACCATGTGTGTGCCTGGTGCCTGTGGAAGTCAGAGGAGGGTGTCAGTTCCTCTGGAACTGGAGTTACAGATGGTTGTGAGCTGCCATGTGGGTGCTGAGAATCAAACTCAGGTCCTCTGGAAGAGCAGCCAGTGTTCTCAACCACTGTGCCGGTCTCCTTGTGTAAAATTCTCATTAATTTACAAAGAAGAAAATGTAAAAGATAAAAACACGAGAAAATACCGAGGCATTAGAATTAGTGGAGTCTAAACATTAAGGAGATTCCAGATATGTCTAACATGAGCAAGTTCTAAAAGTATGAAAATCCAGGAACTCTATCACATTGGAAATAGAGGTTCTGATGCATGCTGCTATGGCAAGGTGGTAGGTTGCCAGTCACGTCAGAAGCAGGGGGTCTGGATGGTCTTCTGTGTGTTGTGCACCACCATAATCTGCTGTCTTTTGTATTTTTTTTACCTGTATTTTGCTTGGTCCTATGGTTATGTAGTTTTAGCTTTTCAACTAAGAGTTTAAAAACTTTGTAAAGTATTTATGACTTTTAAATTATTTATTTGTTTTTGAGGCATAGTCTCACCCTAGCTGAGACTGACCTGGAACTGTCCAGGTAGCTCAGGCTGGTGGTCCTCTTGCCACAGCCTTCTAAGTTTGTGGATTGCAGGCATGAGCCCAGCACTCCTGGCTTTTGTGGGCATTTTTATGGTATGAAGGATAACTTTCCTTTCATAGCTAGAATTATTTAGGTATTCAGTTAGTGTTTACTTCTGTGACTTTGAATGTTTATATCCTTTTATATGTGTGGCAATTACTTATTTCATCCAGTTGGAATATAACTCTCCAGTCATTCTTCTAGTGGTAATATGCACATTGTACAAATCTATTTATTTTGTGTTTATAACCAAGAAAGATAATGCTGTATGAATTTTTGACTGACATTTTTTATTTAAATTACAGACTAACTGGATCTTCTGGATTTGTAACAGACGGACCTGGGAATTATAAATATAAAACCAAGTGCACATGGCTCATTGAAGGACAGTAAGTAATAATGGCTGACTTTCTTTTAATTTATTTATTATGAGAGCTCATTCTAACATAAAGTACTTAAGCATGTGTTACTATTTGTTTCTTGAGACTGTAACTCAGGCTGACCTTGAATTTTGATATTGCTGCCTCAGCCTCCCATGTGCTAGGTTTGTAGGTGTGAACCACCATGCATTGGTGCTGCAATACCTTTCATTAATAGCTTTTCATTTGGCAAGTGGTTTTACTTTTTAAATTTTACTTTTGGGGGGCCAAGGAGATGGCTCAGTGGGTAAAGTGCTTGTTGAGCAAGTCTGGTGATGTGAGTTTAATCCCTGGGTCCCACAGTGGAAGGCTGGCTCCTGAAAGCTGTCCTCTGACCTCCTGAACATGACCTGAACATGTACACATACACGCAAATAATAAAATAAGAAATAAAAAATTTCTTTTTTGGGTGCCAGGGACTGAACCTAGGACCTCACTAAGCAAGTGCTTTATTAGTAAGTGGCCCTTAGTTTAGGTTTTTTAAGTTCCAATTTGACTTAATGTTACAATGAATTATATATACCAGAAGTTTATATATTTTAATTCTATTAGCTTAAAAAATCAGTTAAAATCTTTTTAATGGTTTGTTTAAATCTTTATACAATAATGCTAATGTGTCATTTTTTTCTGAGTATTGATTTTTATTACAGACAAAATGGTAAGTCAACCATCAGAATAACTACTGTTGCCTATTCCCTGGCCCTCTTGTCCTTCCAGTTGTCTGTCTCCTCTCTTGTCGTCGTCCCCCCCCCCCCCCCCCCCCCCCCCCCCTACCTCACCCTTCTCTGGCTCAGTAGGCAGTAAACAACGCAATTGCTGGGGAAGAAACGATTTCGCTGGTGTCCTGACTTTGGCCCCCCCCAAAGTTTCTCTGTGGCTTTGGAGCCTGTCCTGGAACTCGCTCTGTAGACCAGGCTGGCCTCAAACTCACAGAGATCCGCCTGCTTCTGCCTCCCAAGTGCTGGGATTAAAGGTGTGCGTCATCACCGCCCAGTTCTTTTCTCCTTCTTTGTACCTGTCATTTAAGGCAGCTTTGTCAAAGCATTATAGTCTCTGGACAAAACTTCAAAGATTCCAAATAATTATTGCTTATTTGTTGTGTCTCTGTACTTTTTACCATTTTAGATACTCAAACCAAGAAATATTGTTTGTTAGTTCATTTAAAAGCAACAATTATGACCTACTACATATTAGCAGAAATGCGTCATTTTATTTTTATTGAGACGGGATCACACTGATAAGCACTGCCTGGCATGATGCTCACTGTGTAGACCAGCTGACTTTGCGCTGTGACAGTCTTCCTGTCTCTGACTTCTGAATACTGGGATTATAAGTGTGTACCACCACACCCAGTTTCTTATGTGGTATTGGGATCAAACCCAGAGCTGAATGCATTCTGGGCAAGCTTTTACCACCTGAGCTAAGTCCCTGGCCCTAAATATCATTTTTATTGATGAAAAATATTCTTTATATTTAAAGAAAATTTAAAAAGTAGCGTTGTTTTTAGATTTCACAAATCTCTTTCTGGTCAGAACAGATCTTTTTTTGTTGTTTTTAAATACGATAGGTAAACAAACTTACATATGAATGAGATAGTTCCAGATAGGAGGGAAAGTTAAATATTGGAGAGAAAAATTGATAGGTTTATCTATTTTGGAAAATTTTAGGGATTTTTGTTGAGATGCTGAGCATAGTAAAATACAAAGGTGGGGCTAGTTAGCAATTGTGGAGAGTGGGGAATGTGGAGAGCAGGGAGAATGTCACTGATGCGGTTGCTGAAATTGTCAAAGTGCCGTGTGCAGTGATGAGGGAGACCAGGACTGGAACCAGTCTGCCCATTACTGTGACATTCTGCAAGACATCTTAGTTTTCTTTCGAGTCACTCTAAGTCAGAGTTGGTAAACAGTTCCCTTAAGACAGGACTTTTTGGTACCATGCCATGAAAAGGCAGAGACACCAGTAAATTTAGAAAATGTGTGTTATAAAGTGATGTGTTATGAAATCTTAAGTAAGATGAGTAAGGAAAGAAATGTAAAAATTGAAGGACTTGTGTTGTTAAAAACAAGACTGTAAGCATTCTTATTAGGCCCATGAAGTCTGAGCCAGTGCCTCTTTTGTTTAATGTCCTCTTATACAAATACTAAATAGATCTCCAACAAATGTAGGAATGCTGTTTATATTTATATGTTTATATTATATATTATTATAAATTCTTTAAAAGTCTGTCTTAGTATCTAATGTTATGATTATTATAAATCACTTAATTATTTTTCTAGGCCAAATAGAATAATGAGACTTCGTTTCAATCATTTTGCTACAGAATGTAGCTGGGACCATTTATATGTTTATGATGGGGATTCAATTTATGCACCTCTGATTGCTGCCTTTAGGTAAGCTTATCCATTATCTGATCTCTGAATTTAAATGTGTCTCCAGGATTGATTCCATACTGGATTTACTTTTATCATTCCATAACATTTATTGCATGGAGTAAGTATGAGTTCTGTCCCTGGCATGGTCTCTTCACTTGTTATTTATGTACTGGGTCATTTTCTGTGTATGCTACAATGTCGCTGAGGTTAACCTTGAACCTCTTGTCTCCACCTCGCAAGTGCAACAAGTACAGGTTTGCACCACCGTACTGGACTCGTTTCAGGTGGTAGATGGCTGGAGCAGCAGCTAAGAGCCCATATCTTGAACGGCAAGTAAGAGGCAGAGAATGGCATATTGGGGATGGTGGGAGGCTTTGAAACCTCAAGCTCAACCCCAGTGACATTCTTTCTCCAAGAAGGCCGCACCTCCTAATCCTTTCCATATGGCCACCAAGTGAGGGCCATGTATTATGCTGAAACTTATTATGGGTGACATCTCCTTCAAACCACCAGAGGGACCACCTGAATATGGATTGGGTTATCACAGACTTGGGGCCAGGATGAATTAATGGAAATGGGAGAAAATGAGTAAAATTTCCCAAATGCTTGCTGACTGCTGTGAGCTGAGGGATTTACCTGTTATGCCCTCCCGTGTGATGATGGGCTGAAATTCCTGAAACCAAAATAAATCTGTTTCTCTTAAGTTTTGTTATTGCTTATTTTTCGAGGCAGGATTTCATGTAACCTCAGCTGTACTTAAACTCAATGCAGCCAGTGATTACCTTGAATCTACCTCCCGAGTGCTAGGATTGTAGGCATGTGCGTCCAAGCCTGTTGGCCCTTAGACTGTTTTTCTCAGGTCTTTGGTCATAGTGATAAGCCTGGCTGATGCACTAGAAAATGTACACAGTACAGTTGGTGAGGTCGGCTTATGCTTCAGATGCAGTCGAGATCCCGTGTTAGCTTGGGACAGCTATGCTGAGTTTCTGGTTTATGAGGAAAATACCTTTAGTACTGTGATTTTTCAAAACTGGTTCCAGGGCTAGAGAGATGGCTCAGTTGGCAAAGCATGAAGACTCCTGAGCCTGGTAGTACCTGCCAGTGTCCTCAGCACTTGGAGGGAGGAGGTGAACAAGTAGTTCCTGAATTGATGAACTTCAGACTTGAGACTCCCTGTCTCAAAAAAAAAAAAAAAAAAAAAAAGAAAAAAAAATGGAGCTGGAGAGATGGCTCAGTGGTTAAGAGTGCTGACTGCCCAACCTTATAAATGCACAGCCCTTCATTGTTTTGAGGGAGTTTACTACAAATAGAATATCCTCAATCCAAAAATCTGAAATGCCCCTAAATCCATAGCTTTTTGTGTGTTTACATGATGCCACAAATGGAAGATGTCGCACTATGAAACATTATTTCTTAAAATTATTAAAGATACTGTATAAAATTACTTTTAGACTATATGTATGAGGAATACGATATATAAGTTTTTTGTTTAGACTTAGAAATATCCCAAAGGTATTTTATTCTGTGTATATACGTACTCCCAAATATGAAAACTCTGAAATTTGCAACATGTCTGTTCTAACACTTTTAAATAAAGGATATTCATCTTCTATTCATGAAACCAGTGAAAACACAATGAGAGATTGTATTGGTTTGCTTTCTCTTGCTGTGATTTACAGAAGAAAGAGTTTATTCAGGCTTATAGCTCCAGAGGAAAAGTCCTTCCTGGCAGGGAGGCAGTAAGCAGCAAGTATGGCAACTGGAGCTTACGGGCTTTATCATAAGCACAGAGCAGAGTGCTAGCTGGAATACGTGAGGCTTTTTACGCCAAAGCCTGCCCCACTTGATGGGCCTTACCTCCTAACTGTTTCCAACAGCGCCACCAAACCAGGGACTAAGTGTTAAATGCCTGACACTGTGGGTGACATTTCTTATTTAAACCACCAATATGGCTAATAGTTTCACCTAAATGTTGATCAAAAGTCACTTCACCTCTTTCCAGTCCTCCTCTCTCTTTCCAAAGCAGCACTTTCTGTCCTTTTCCTATGTTGATGCTTGCACTGAGTTACCTCTGAATGGTATTGTGTGTATATACACCCTTGTATGGTACTCTGTAATAGACTTGTTTCTCTGAATTGCATGAGGACAAAGACATTGTCTTGTTCATTGTTGTATTTCTGGTACCTAGAACAATGCCTCAAGTGTGTTAAATATTTAGTAGATTTTAAAAAATTGGATTTTTATTTTACCAATGTTTTGTTTGCATGTATACATGTATGTGCACCACATTATTGCTTTGTTCCTGCAGAGGCCAAGAAGAAGGCAAATTCTCTAGAATTGGAGTTACAGTCAGATGATGCTAGGAACAGAACCCAGGTGCTCTGCAAGTGCTCCTAACCAATGAGCCTTCTCTCCAGCCCAAGCACTTAGTGTTTATTAACTGATGCACAGTAGAAAGTGTGCCCTTGTGTACAGTCAGAATCTTATCTTCAGACTAAAATTTTAGTAAGGACTGGAGAGGTGGCTCAGTTGTTAAATTGCTTATCACAGGAACATGAAGATCTGAATTTAGATCTCACATAAAAACCAGGTGTGGTTTGTGAGCATGTTGATTGCAGTGTTGAGGAGGCAGAAACAAGAGAATTCCAGGGGCTGGCTGACCAGCCAGTCTAGCCAATCAGTGAGCTCAGTAAGATCCTTCCTCAAAAAATGAGGTGAGCCATCTGGTGGCACATGCCTGTAATTCCAGCGCTCAAGAGGCAGGGCAGGTGACTCTTTGAGAATTCCGGCCATCCTGGTTTGCCTTGTGAGTTCCAGGCCAGCCAGCACCACAAAGCAAAACTCTGTCTCTAAAAGAAAAAAGTGGGGAGTGATTGAAGATACCTGATAGTGACTTCTGGCTTCTACATGCATACTCAGATGTAATCCCCCAACAGGCACAGACAACATGCATACACACGTGTTCACACACAAATTAAATGAAAAGCCCCATCCTCTTCTCGTGTTCAGTCCCTGTTTATGTAGTCTTCCAGTCATCTTTATGTGCATTCGCCTAAGTTCACATGAATATGCAGGTACACTAGGCCTGTTGTCTGCTGTGTGCCTCCCTGCTCTACCTGTATATTGTCTTCACAAGCCTCTTGTTAGTCCTGTAGACCTAGGTTTGTATTGACTCATTTAATCAGCTCCTATGAATGACAAGTTAGGTGATTCTTTTAACCTGTTGTCATATAAATAGTGCTGTAGTAAGATTCATTGTTTTTTCTGTGAATATGAGAAAGTATCTCTTTTACAAAGAGAATTTCTAGGCCAGTCAGTGAGATTTTAAGATGGCCATAGCCCTGAAATAGGAATTTACCTGGTGTAACCTTCAGAAAAGTGAGGGTACTAAGGGTTGAGTGAGTGAAAGGGAGAGGGTAATAGGGGATAAGTTGTTTATTCATTGGGTAGAATTGTATATGTGGAGCATATTACATGGCATTTGGTGTTGATTGATTGGTGGCAGTGATTGTAGTGAATTGATACTGGGGCAAAAAAGGTAGGAGCAAGTAAACGTGAAAATAATTAACCTTGGAAGTATATCATTTATGAAACTAGCAATACCAACATCTTCCTTGCTGTTGGTGATGTGAGATGGGTGTGGATACTTTCATTCTGTATTGAGATTTCAAGTTATCATACATATTTGCTTGGAACTCACTGTGGAACCATGCTAGTCTCAAACTCACAGAGATCTCTGTAGCTGCCTCCTGAGTACAGGAGTTAAAGGCATGTGCTACCTTCCCAGCCTTCAAGTTAACATATAGCTTTTAGAAAACAAGTTGGTATGGTTTTATGGGCCAAATATCTTAAAAATGGTATTTTCTGATTCAATAATTCTTTACTTCACGTGAATTTACTGGCACCCACCAAATACTTTGAATATTATTTACTGGGCTCTTACTAAGATCCCAGGGAGAGCTTTTTAGAGCCTTCAGAGACAGAAATGCTTCTTGTGTATTGTTTGTAAAGTGGGACATAAAATATATGTTACCAGTTGAGCAAAGAATATGCATCTGAAAGCTAATAGTATAAGGATTATAGATTCAGTTCACTTTTCTATTTATATTTTTATATAAACCATTTATAAAATATACTTACTGAGACATAAAACTTTTATAAATTGTTTATATAAAAATATAAATAAAAAAGTGATATATATTACTATGTATCTAGTATTTATTTACGTATATAGTAAGTAGTATGTATGATAGTAAGTGTATCATATGTAATATGATATATATTACTAAATAAACATATAAAATATTTTCTCTTTCAACAGTACATATTTGGTAATTATCAGTTCATATTTTGTTATTTATGTGATTGTAGGGTCTTGCTTGAAAGTATCATAAAAAGTTTTATAACGACAACAAAAAACCCAAAGTCATTGGTTTCAAATTGTTTTAGAAACTGGGCATTGGTAGTGCATGCTTGTAATCCCAGCACTCAGGAGGGAAGGTGTGTGTGGGGTCTGTGAGTTTGAGGCCAACTAGAGTACATTCAGACTCTGTGAGAACAACAGGAACAGCAGGATCAAACAAACAGTAGTGGCGACAACAGACTAGAGGAAGCCCAGCAGACTCAGGGTTGCTTCTCAGCAGATCCACGACTGACTAGACTTAGACTGAAATTTGTAGAGATGAATTCTGTTGAAATTGCTGTAATTTGGTCTGTGTTTGCATTTCAGTGGCCTCATTGTTCCTGAAAGAGATGGCAATGAGACGGCCCCAGAAGTCACTGTCACTTCAGGTTATGCACTGCTTCATTTTTTCAGCGATGCTGCTTATAATCTGACTGGATTTAATATCACTTACAAGTAAGATTTTTAGATTTAATATTTTTGATAATATTCAAAAGACTATTTTAATAATGCTAGTGTGTTGGCTTACAGCAAGTCAGGTATCTTGCTAAAAATTAATATGGACTTTGTTAACTAATATTTTTTTTAAATATTCAGTTTTTGTCATTGTATAATTGAGGACATGGGAGCTAAAAGGTTAAAGAAATGTCAGCCCCAGAGGTTGGGACCACAGTTTCTAGATCTTGTCTCTGAGCATCTCCTGGAAGAGAGGGGCATTGTTCTTGCTGCTGGAATAAAGTGTCAGCCGTTTGCTTTGTGCATTTCACAAAGACTGGTAGTGTCTCAGCAATAATCAGTAGTAGAAGTCTTTATTCTTAAACTGTTATAATAGACCACTAATTCAGTCCTTTAAAAAGTCTAAACTATGTCATCTCAAAGTTATCAATACTGTTATCTTAAGTCATGTTATGAGACACAGTTAAACTCATCATGAAGTTTACTGTTCTTCTCTGTCTGACATGAGTTAATAAAGTTACTAAAAATCTTTAACTCTATCACTGGGCAGTAATCTTAAATCCTACTAATTCTCAGAGTCTTTACAGAGAACTAACTGTGTACCATGAACATATTGGCAGTTCATTGGATTCCTTTCTTTCCGCCATTTCCCAACATGAACTTGGCACTTTCGTAGAACTCATTAGTAATGAGCTACCAGGAAGAATAGGATCCTGGTTCCCAACCTAGAGCCAAGTCTGGGTGATCTTGCACAAATCTCTTTTGTTTTGTAATTACTGTAACTTTTTGAGTTATTTATTCTTACCTTCTTCATATGTGAATCCAATAGAGTTGATGTGATTTCATTACTTGAACCTTGGGCTCTAGCTACACAGAGCTCAGTGAGCACACATGGGCTCAATGGTAAGTCCTGTGGTTATACTTGTGACTGAACTGAAGACAGTCAGACCCTTCAGCTGTGTAGGAGGAGGTTCTGATTACAATTGAAGTGTTGCTTTTATTGACTTGGTTTTCTCCTCTCTGTAGTTTTGACATGTGTCCGAATAATTGCTCAGGCCGAGGAGAATGCAAGAGCAGCAACAGCAGCAATACTGTCGAATGTGAATGCTCTGAGAACTGGAAAGGGGAGTCGTGTGACATTCCTCATTGTACAGACAACTGTGGCTTTCCTCACCGAGGCGTCTGTAATGCAAGTGATGTCAGAGGGTGCTCCTGCTCCCCCCACTGGCAGGGTAGGAGCTGTCCTTTTGGTCTCAGAAGGTTGTAATTTAGGGAACCTTAAGGTAGTTTATTTTAGCAGCTGTATGTTTTATGTTAATCATGTATCAGATGGCATTCAAGCATTCACCTCCTTTACCCAGATTCTTTAAATTTTACACCTGTGTGGTTGTTAATTGATATCCTTAGAATTGTGGAAAGGTTTGACATGTCGTTTGTAACTCATTCATGAAAATTAGGGACCATGGTCTCATGTTAGAAGGGCAGAGAATGAAGCTGAGAGATAGGTGAGAGCTATTCTCTTCCATCTGTTCAGCTCTTGAGTTTACCAGAAGATAGATTTAGATCTGTCATTATATTTTAATCATAAAGTCTTTTCCACTTGAATTGATAACCCCTTGGTCGGCCCTTTCCCCTAAGAGCTTCTTAAGCAAGATTTTTACTGAAAATTTAATCTGAATATATTGCCAAGTCATCAGGAACTGTATGATACTAAATTTTGTTAGGGAGTGATTGATTTTGTTCAGTATCTTGAAGAAATTAAGAATACCAGTTAGGTGCTAAAGGTTATTGGTTAAAGCTTATTGCTAAAGCTTATTGGTTAAGAACACTGGCTGCTCTTCGAGAGGACCTAGGTTTGATTCCCAGCACCCACATAGCAGCTCACAACATCTGTAACTCCAGTTCCCAGGGATCCAATGCCTTTTTCTTGCCTCAGTGGGCATCAGTAAGGCAAGTGGTACATAGGCATACATGTAAGCAAAACACCCATACATGTAAAAATTTTAAAACCCCACGAGTTAAAGATGTTGGATGCTTAAATGCTAAAGGAACCTCTATTCTTTGAATAGTCTTTGCATTTAGATTAGAATTTGGAAAATTATAAACTTTCATGCTGCATTTTGTGAAACTATTTGTTTTGTTGTTTGTTTTAATTAGGTCCTGGGTGTTCAGTTCCTGTGCCAGCTAACCAGTCTTTCTGGATTCGAGAGGAATATTCTGATATAAAGCTCCCCAGAGCCTCTCATAAAGCTGTGGTCAATGGGAATATAATGTGGGTTGTTGGCGGATATATGTTCAATCACTCAGATTATAGCATGGTTTTAGCGTAAGTGGCTTTATAATTTAAATTTTTTTATATGTTATTACTGTGTGTATATATGATGGGGGGGGGTGGTGAAAGTGTGTGTGCCATGGTGTGTAAGTGGTGACCAAAAGACAGCTTTGTGGAGCTGTTTTTCTCCTTCATCTTTACATGAGTTTGGGGTATTTAGTGCAGGCTGTCAGGCTTGTAATGCTCTGCTCTCTCACCAGCTCTGTAAATGGTTTAAATACTTTTGTAAGAAATTTAGGTTTACACTTTAAAAAACTATGGCATAAAAATAATTAAAAAGACAAGAAATCTTAAGTAGTTACTGAGAAAAAAATCTCTGCTTAAACTCTGCATATTTGTACATGTATATGTATATGTTGATGCCTTAGGGTTTCTGTTGCAGCGAGGAGACACCATGACCATGGCAATTCTTAAAAAGGAGAACATTAAAAAAAACCAAAAACACTTTAAATTGGGGCTGGCTTACAGTTTCAAAAGTCTAGTCTGTTATCGTCATGGGGGGAAGTTTGACTGACTGCAGGCAGACAAGGTGCTAGCTATGAGTTCTGAATCCGTAGGCAGCAGGAAGAAAATGCCCCAATTGGCATGACTTGAGCATCTGATACCTCAGAGCCTGTCTCCAATCTCACACTTCCTCCAGCAAGGCCACACCTACTCCAACAAGGCCACACCTCCCACTAGTGCCACTCCTTAGGAGCTTCTGGTGCCATTTTCATTTAAACCACCACAGTTGATGATTTAAAACTGAGAGTTCCAAAGAATTCATTGTCATGATAACAATTTATCTTTTAAGATACTGTCTCTGATATTTTGCTTTAGATATATAGTGGGTTATATAAATAGAAGTTACTCAATATTTTAATAATTTTCATATGTCAGATGATTTCATAAACTGCCTTTGTCTAATAATTTCCAGGGTTTGAAGTCTGTGCTTATTTGAAGGTAGATTATACATTATCACATTAGAGTTAGCTTTGGAGTGTTAGATTTCAAGAAGAGATTTATAAATACTTAATTTATAAATGCTGTATTTTATAGTCTGGAAAATTTTCTATGCATTTTCTATTAGTGATTATAAAGCACTAGCAATCACCTTAAAATGAGTAGGACTATGGCAGTGTGGTATAGTGTCTTTGTTGCTGTTCTATTGCTCTGAACACCATGACTAAGGCAGAAGAAAGCATTTAATTAAGGGCTTGCTTACAGTTTCAGAGAGCTTACTCTGGGACCATCATGGCAGGGAGCATAGCAGCAGGCAGTCACAGCACTGTAGCAGTAGCTGAGAACTTAACACCTCATCCACAAGCAAGCATGGTGTGTGTGTGGAGCAGGGCGGGGAGGAAGGCAGAGACGGGGCCTTGCATAGGCTTTTGAAACCTCAAAGTTCACTCGCAGTGACATTATCCGATAAGGCCATACATACCTCCTAATCCTTCCCAGAACATTTCCATCAATTAAGGGCCAAATGTTCAAATATATGATCCTATTGGAGCCATTCTCAGTCAAACTATCACACATAGTTTTGGAATCACCCCAGATATAGTCATTAAAACACACAAAGTAATTTAGGACAGTGAAATAAAACCTTATAAAATTGATGGAAAGCTTTAATATTCCCTAAACAAGTTCAATGATAAGAAAGTGATGTGCATCATGAAAGAACAGTCTACTAGACAAACTCAGAAATGAATGATCAAAGTTAATTCTAAAAATAATTTCAGAATTGAAGACAAATGTGAAAGGAGACACATATACTGCCTTGGAAAAGGAATATTGAAACAGGAATCTTTTAAATCATATAGAAAAAATTTAAAAGATCTTTTTGTAGCACGAGTAATAAAACCCAGAGACAGATATTGGGGTTCAATCTGAAGATCAGAAAAGCAAAGCAGCAAAGCCTCTAGAAGGCTCTTAACCTCTACGAAATCTTGAGACTTAAAGAGAGTGAGTTCCTCTCCCATTTTACATTCCTCTCTAGGGCTGGATTAAAGGTGCGCACCACCGCCGCCCAGCCTCTATGGCTTAGTAGTGTGGCTTCTGGGATTAAAGGTGTGTGCCACCACTGCCTGGCCGACTAGTGTGGCTGTTTTGTGTTCTGATCTTCAGGCAAGCTTTATTTTTTAAAATACAAATGAATATCACTATATATTTTTTTACATTTACATATTAATTTTGTGTGTGAGAACTCATGTGCCATAGCACTTGTGTGGCATACTTTAGAATTATCTGACAAGGACTTTAAAGGCAGCAGCTGCACATATAAAAATCAAGTGAAAGGATAGAAAATATCAACAAAAAATTAGAGAACATAGAGAATATTGGAGGCCAGGTTAAGGTACTTGACCCACAGGCCTGATGACCCAAGACCCACATGGATGGAAGAAAGAACAGACTCATGAAAGTTGTCAAGGCACATTCAACTTGGTGCCTTGGCAAATATACACTCTTGCCCCAAATAAATAAATGTAATAATAATAATAATAATAATAATAATAATAATAATAATAAAAAGTATTAAGTGGAGGGGATGGAAAGATGGCTGAGCTATTAAGAGCACTTAATCCTGGTAACAGCCACTTGGGACTTCAGTTCTAGAGCATCTGACACCCTCTTGTGGCCTCTGCAGGCACTGCAAGGATGTGTAGTACATAGACGTATACATAACATAAAAATGAAGGTTAAAGAAAAACAATTACAACTTGAGGACACTTCATTTTGCCAGTACCAAATCAGCTTCTTTGTGTTTTTTTTTTTAACTCTTTACTCTTTTGACTCTTTGTTCTTTGGGATCCTACCAGCTAGCTCTGAAATAAATCACACAACATGGAGGCTTATTCTTATGAATGCCCAGCCTTGGCTTGGCTTGTTTTTAGCCAGCTTTTTAAAATTATCCTGACTACCATTTGCTTCTGGGCTTTTACCTTTCTCTATTTCTGTATATCTTTTCTTCCCTTTTTATTCTGTGTCTGGCTGGGTGACTGGATGGCTGGCCCCTTCTTTCCTTGCTCCTTCCTCCCTTTTCCCCTTCTATTTATTCTCTCTGCCTGGCAGTCCTGCCTGTCTTTTCTCTGCCCAACTATTGGCTGTTCAACTCTTTATTAGACTAATCAGGTGTTTTAGACAGATAGAGTAACACAGCTTCACAGGGTTAAACACATGCAACATAAAGGAATGCAATACATCTTTGCATCATTAAGCAAACATTCCACAGCATAAACAAATGAAACACATCTTAAAGTAATATTCTACAACATCTTTGAAATCCTTCCATTTCATGAGAAGCACCAATTCTCCATTGCTCTCTGTGACTCCAGGTATTGGTTGAAGATCAAGACCTAGGGCAAAGCTTCTTAGTTTGTCAACAGCATCTCTTTTCTCCTTTAGTTTGCTACCATCAGGGTCACTGTCACATAAAGACTTCCCTTTGTACTATCCTTTCCTTTGCCAGCTCTTTGAAAATTAAGAAATACTTTAGTGAACTCTGGACTCTTAGTTTTCTTCAGGTTTCCAAGTATGGTTGATATCTGTAAATCTCCTTGTCTTCAAGAAAATCCCCGCCTTCCCATTATTGCACTTAATCCAGACCCTGCCTCTTCAGCCTTTTAAGTCTTTCTATTATGTTTCTTTCCCAGGTTTTGCAGTGTACTTTTTGGGGAGTCATTTTTTAAAACTGAAATTTTGAGGGGTTCACTGCTGCAGCATGGAAACTCATCTCTGAACTGTGCACCTCAGCTCAGCCACATCTCTTCTTGTTCTTGCTATTGTAAAGACTTGTTTTTATATTTATGTGTGAGGGTGTCTGCCTGCATGTATGTCTGTGACAGGTTTTCTTGTTTTAATGGGAGTGTTTCTCTACTTGGGCAAGTCTTTGGGATTGTCTCTTATCTGTAAAGTGGAGAATGTAAGATGAAGACTAACACATAGAGTTCCTTTTCTCACTTCATCTTATCAGCCTTATACCCAAAATATGAAACCTCACCCTCCCAAAGTGTGACAATTAGAGGAAACTTGTACTACCTTTGTTTTATATTCTCCATGCAAAAGAATTTGCAAACCTATTTCCTGTTTCCTATATATACTCTCCTTGGTAAATCCATGCACGTATTTTAGAATAAAACAAGCTTTTCCTAAATCTTCCTGCCATGTATTTCTTTTAGGATTTATTTTATGTGTATGTGTTTCTGCAAGTGAATGCTGTGTGTGTGTGTGCAGTTGCCTTCAAGAGGCCAGTAGAGGGTGTTGGATCCACCTGGGCAGAGTTACCAACAGTTGCAACATAGGTGCTGGGAACCAAACTTGGTCCTGTTAAGATTACAGCAGGCACTCTTAACCCTCAAGATTCTCCAGTTCATGCTGGGTGCTGCCTTTAGTTCACAGAGGTTGCTTTTATCTCCTCAAGTCTTTCTATGCCCAGTTGTCACTGGTTCTCATCCATGCCTATGTTTATGTGATAAAGCCACAAGAAGAGACTTGACTGAATCTTGCTAACAGTGTGCATCACAGAAATGACACCCTATCATCTTTGCTTTCCACTGCTTAGAAGTGAGTCAGTGATTCTGCTTATACTCAAGGGAGGGCATTATACCATGAAGCAGAGGTGAGGAGTATCGTGGGTACTCAAGTATCTGACTGTTATGGTATATCATCAGGTCTTATTGGCACTATCTTTAAAATCTACCCTAAATCTAGAGCTGAATGTGGTGGTGTGTGCTTGTCATCAGTTCCAGAACCTAAGGTGCAGAGGCAGGAAGATTGTGATTTCTGGCTGCTATAGGTACATACAGAGATCCTATCTCAAAAATAAACAAATGTACAAATAAAAAGCTGACTACTCTCACCCCTAGCGCTGCTTCCATGAATAGAAAAGGAAAAATTAAACTTGCAAAAATGATTTTTCTTTCTGTGGTTAACACTAGATGTTTGTAAGAGCCATGTGTGTCGTTTGTGTGGTTTTATGCTTGCCTTGCCATCATTTTCCGTCCTTGTGTGTGTAT